ATTAGCCAATTGGTAACGTGATCTATGAAAGCCTGGTCATCCATGGGGGGCTATTATTCTGTGGCATGAACTGTGGGTCTGCTAAACTTAAGCGGCCTGTTTGGCCACCATTATTGTACCCTGCAGTTCTGGATTCCTGCACAAGGTCAGAACTGCCCTTCAGAACTGGCCAATCAGCCAAAGTAACCAAAATTTACAAGGTGCCTGTCAAATCAATCAAGAACAGAAAACTTGATCATCTGGGAAGGGTGTGCATCAAGAAGTATGACCGGAAACCCCCGGAGGGCTGATGACGGATGAATAAACTTACTCCCGACTCATACATCATGAGGTATGACTGGGAACTCCCGGGGGGCCGAGGACCGATGTATATGACAAGGGACCCCAGAAGCTGATCAGTGGAATGCCTTGTTGATAAGATTAGGACCATGGCCGGGGCCTCACGTCTGGTTTCCATTACAAAACTTAGTCATCAAACTGATAACATGGTCAGCAGACTCATGTCCCCCCAAGCCCAAGATGACATTCTTTAGTTTCACCCATATTTTTCTCCTTGTCCTCCTAAACTAGGTAACTGATGCAGTATGATTATTCTACCAATAAAAACGGCCGGGATCTTGCTCTCAAGCAACATCCTGCATTATGTAGCCTGCTCCATGACTCCCATTTCTTTATCAGTGTGGTGTTGCCCGATGCAACAATGAACATCTTCCCATTCTATGATGATACCTCTGATATTCAGAACAGCGTCCACAGAGGCAGCAGCAGAAGGAGCAGGGTGCTGTGCTTTCTTTACTTCGGGAGGCTCTGGCTGCTGGAACCCCACCCCACCCCACCTCACCCCGCCTCCACAGTGCTGCTTCCAGCGTGAGGCACAGACAGCTGGCTACTCATCAGCATCCATATCACCTTTCTCCTGGGCAATTGAGGAGGCTACATTTCCCAAACTCCCTTGTAGGGGATGTGGCCATGTGACTGAATTTCAGCCAATTAAGTGAGAACAGAGGTGATGGGGGTTACCTTCAGTCAACAAAATGGGGAATGCTATAGAGGCTACACCTGAGGGCATCCTTGGAAACCTCAGGCTGCTGGTGGGAATAAGGACTATTATTTAGGTCCCTGAAAGATAGTAAAGGAATGTCCACAGGAAAACTGTGCAAAAAAACCAGGGTTTTGTGTCTTTTCCAGTGCTGTCTCCTCAGCACCAGACCAATGTTTCTCTGAGAGAACATATCATATAGAGCCTTCTGGTGGCACAGGGATTAGAGTCTCAGCACTATGAAGCTATCACCAGCACTATGGCATGAGTTCAATCCCCAGCCAGGGGGCTACCCACATCACAGCAGATCCCTCCTGCCTCACCTGCTGCTCCCCTCAGCAGTATATTTCAGTCAATCCACCTGTTCTGCTCCCCACTCTGTCTCTGGTGAATCCTCTCACATATGTACCCCCGCCCCCGTACCTCTGGCCTACACCCTAGTTCTTGTATGCATAAATTAAAAAAAAAATAAATCTTCAAAAAAAAAAAGAACAAATCATATAACTTAAGGCATCTTTGAGTGTGAGGCACACCATTATTCTTTGTACCATGAGGGAATAAAAGATGCTGCCAGTTAAACCACAGTACTATGCTTTTACAAAGAAAGAGCTCTCTCAGATTCATTTAGTCACAGACACTCATAAATCACTTCTGTGCATAATAAAACAGGAAATAGAAGTAAAATAACTGGGGTTAGGTACTTCTAGGATGTTTCATTCCAAACCTGACTCCTTTCTCTTGACTAAGAATGACAATGACCATCTTTTTTTTTTTTTTATGTGCTGCCATCCTGAGGCATCAAGGTGTTGAAGATGCAGCATTTCTCAAAAGAATTCATAAGATAACAAAGCATCTTACATGCTGAGCTCTACGCCAGCATTACATTTCCATGGATCTTGCTGCACTGCAATGCTGCCAAACATATCTGATTCACCACCTCCCCATAAACATTGGATTCTTTTTTGTTATGAGCATTCTCTGTGGCTATTTTGGTACATTCTCCCCCAAACTGTTGGCAGTCATTCTGCACATTTTGATCCTGGCATTTTTGATATCTGCACAGGTAGTGACAACCTCCCTAACCCTGCTGTGGCCAGCAACTGTCAGAGATGCCATTGATTTAAGACACATCCCAATTTCAAAGATTTTGAGTCACGGGGTGGGGGGTGTGTGTGTGGTGTGTCATAGAATTTGAAAAATAGGGTTGTAGATGCTCAATAAGTGTTTGTAGAATGGATGAGGAGATGAATTCTAGTTCCCATTCTGTGATAGAAAAATGCTTCCCCCTCCTTAGGAAAAGTCTTCTCATCTCATCAGTCAGCCTGAGTCACATGTCCACCCCTAAGAAATCTCCAGCCGAGCAGTGTGACAACTACACTTAAGTGAATCAGGATTTACTTTTGAGCTTGGAATATCATTCCTATAATCACCTTGGATACCTGAAAGTAAACCAGGATTCTGCTTAGAAGGCGTGGGAGAAATGTCACCTCAACCTTTTCCTCATTCTATGCTTGTGTTTGCACTAATACTGTTATTTTTCATCTATAATTTCTTTGCAGGAAAGTGTTAGGGCATTCTATGTTAGTATATGTTTAAAACTGGACAGTGTAATCTGTGTACCTGTTTCATGAAATGTAAACTGAAGTACCCTGAAAGTGACAAGATGTGAGGGAGGGGTCTCCCTGGTGGCGCAAGGGGTTTAGACGCAACCTATGAAGCAATCCACAGCCACTGCAGCACGAGTTCGATATCCGGCCTGGGAGCTACCCACATGGCGCAGCAGACCTCTCCTTACTCGCCCGCTTAGCAGTGTATTTCAGTCAATCTACTTGTTCTGTTCCCCATTCTGTCTCTGGTAAATCCTCTCACTCCCCCACCCGCACCCCCTGCACCTCTGGTCTGTATCCCAGTTCTTATATGCATAAATAAATCTTTTTTTAAAAAAGTGAAGGATGTCCTCCAAATTGTGGGACTCAGAATTCCTCCTGTAGTGTCTGTGTCAGGGACCAAGGCATGAGAAGTGATGGTGCCAGTGTCACTGTGTATATCATGTTTCTTCCTGATGCCTCAAATGAGCATCATATGTGCCCCTGGGTACCTGTACCTTCTCTGGATACTACTGGGGTGACACCCACAGGATTCCAATGACCTAGATAGGCAGGTTCCTTGCTCTCCATGGCCACTTGCAGGAAGCTGGCTTTGAAGAGGGCGAGAAGGTCGGAGATGGAGGAGGCTTTGAGTAATGTTTCAAGGTATGAGTGTTACATACTCCAAAAAACAAATTTTTTGATGAAAAAGTACTGCCATTTATTTTATGAAAGGTTCATTCCTCCCAGATAACCTCTCCAAGGTGAAAAGTCTGCTACCACAGCAGAACTGGAGAAGGGTTTTGAAAGCATTTAATTCTGTGGCCTCATTTTACAAAGGGGAGGTCGATGGCTTCCTCTCTCTCAGCACTGGCTCTGTCGGACTGCCAGGCTTCTGGATCCCTAGCTTAGGCCCTGCCATTGGCTGCCTCCCCGCTGAGGGGGACACTTCTGTGCCAGAAGACACTGGACTGGGGAGTGTGGGGAAGGGCAAAGGAGAGGGAAGGGCGAGAGACTGCCAGCCTGGAAGTGGTTTGAGACAGCAAGAAAAGGCCCAGATGCTCTGCAAAGTCCTAAGGATGAGCAGCTCTGATCCTTAGGCCCGGCTACATGGGACTGGCCAGACTTTCGGAAAGGAAGGATTCTTTCGAGACTGTCAGTTTCCAAGTAGATGAATCAATCCCTTAAGAACCCATAAAGGAAAGGATGTGAAAGGAGATTCTTGGGGCTTAGAACATAGAGGAACTCAATATATTTGTTGAGGGAAAAAGGAATCTAAAAATAACCTACATATGTATATTTCTTATATATAATAATATAACATTTATGTATTACTGTGTGAATATGTGGTTAGAAGAAGCACTGACTCAAATACCTGAACCTGCATTTACAAACTGAAGACCTCGGGCAAGTTCTGTGGTTTCATTTTTCTGCAAATCAAGGAGAGGGATGTTGTGAGGAGAAAAAAGAGAAATCAGCGTGAAAGTGCCTGGTATATAACAGACACTTAATAAATGATAGTTGAGGGCCTCCCTGGTGGCGCAAGGGGTTAAGCACAGCACTGTAAAGCTATCTGCAGCCTCTGCAGCACAAGTTCGATGCCCGGCTGGCCAGAGAGAAACCCACATGATGCAGCAGACCTCTCCTGTCTTGCCCGCTGCTCCCCTCAGCAGTGTATTTCAGTCAGTCTGCCTGTTCTGTTCTCCACTCTGTCTCTGATGAATCCTCTCACCCCCGGTACCTCTGACCTGTACTCAGCTCTTGTATGCATAAATAAATCTTTAAAAAATAATAAATGATAGTTGAAGCGGGTTTTTGTTTCATACCTTTGATGGGAAGAACAGGTGGGAGATTCAACACCAGTAATGCAGAAGCCCAGTATGGTCACAAAGCGCCCCCCTTGCTCTGGAGCCTCTGCTCACTTCCCACTGGAAGGTGCTGCCCAGCTCAGAGAGTGCTGCCATCTGCTGGGAGGAGGGAGGAAGTGACCAGCTGAGCATCCCCAAACAGCTCCTGGAGCAAGCTGGAAGTAGGCCAGCTTAGGGATCCAGCTCCCCCGCAGCTATGACTATCTTTCAGGATGGCGGGCCCCTCCCTACTGGTCGTTTATCAGAAAAATAAGATTTTAATCCATTTTTCTTTCTAAAAGTAAGTGATAGATACTTTGCCTGACCGCCCCCACATTGCTGCTGTGGGGCAAACACAGTGGGCAGCAGGCAGAGTGCAGAGACCATGAGCCCCCAGAGCATCCTCAGCTGACTCTGCAATTGCCTGGATATCTCCTGGTCAAAGCTTCCACCCCTGAGCCTGACTCACCCCAACTTTCCTGCCTGATCACCAAGTCTCACCCACAGGCAAAACCAGACAATGCTATGTATTTAAGCATTTATTGACAATTGCAGGTAGAATTTGCCACAAGATGATTTAGTGTATTAAGACCCCCCAACTCTCTAAATTCCTGGGTTTGGGGTGCTTCCAAACTTCCCCCAAGAAACTTGAACCCAGCAGGATGGACAGAAAGCTCAAATCTGGGTCAGAAGAGTTGGTGGCATGAGTGAAACCCAATCTAGGAAAAGGAGGGGGAGATGGGAAACGCAGTCAGAAATGAAGCTAAGAAGTTACAGTGCAACCATCCACACTCACTTGGAAGCTGAATAACCAGTTGCTCCCAGATGTTTTGAATGTCTGAGGACCCTCTTTCCAAGTGGCGAGAACAACCACTGTTTCCTCTCCCTAAACCTTGCAAAGAGTACTCTTTATCCCTGATCACCAAGGGTGGAGTGAGATAGAAGAAACCATCACAGGGTTTTTGCTTTGGGGAGCACTGGGAGTTGGTATTGGGGTGCAAGCAGCTTCAGCCTGGCTGATCATAGAAACCCAAAGTTTCTGAGGGACTCCTAGGCTTTATTTGATGGCACCAGGTAGCTCCTTTGGTAGTTCTAATAACTACCTTCCAGTTAAATCAGATACATCCTGGGCTGGCTCCCTGGGACAGGAACAAGTTCCTGTTTTCTTCCATCATTAGTCACAGGCTTCAGATTCACTTGGATGGTCCCTGAGCACCCACAGGCTGTAGGTCATGCTGAGTTCGGTGGCATAGGATGGATGGGGGCCGTTTCTCCAGATCCACCTGGACAGTGGATCCTTCCCAGGGGCTGGGAGCTTGGGAGTGGGCCAGAACCCCAGTGTTTTTTTTTTACAGATCTCTTGCTCCAAACATTAATATATCTTTGAGAGAAAGCATTACAACCAGGACAACCACATAACAATCATCCAAACTGGGACACCTGTGGTAGCAAAGGGGAAGCCATTAATAACCAAGCTGGGAAACAGCACAAATGGGAATCCTGGGCATAGTGATAAATCATCCCCAGTGAGGAAACAAGCCAAATAGGAGGAGAATCCAGTCATTACAGCTGCTCCCTCTCCTATGACTAAAAAACAAAAGTATAAACCTCTTCTCATCAGAGCAATGGAAACTCAATTTCTGGCAGTGATACTGAAACTAGCAACCTGTATGACTACCCTTTGTCTCACTGAGGCTAGTCCCACTCATAGTTACTCTGCCTCTTTGATGCAAGCTCAGATCAGAAGAAAATCTCATTGATATTTCCTGTTACATGGAGACAGCCAGAACTTCAGGGTGGGAACACAGATTTTTTAGTTAATTATTAAGAAGCCTCTCAAAGGAGGTGCAGCCCAGGGGAGTGCTTCCTCAGAAGAGCGGGCAAATCCTGTAACTCCACGTTAGGCCTCCAGGGGGCAACATCTCTCCAGCAATGACCACACCACAAGCGGTGCTGCAGGAAATACATTTAATTGGCCAAGGAATGAGGGTTTGATTTTGATATATTTTTTTAAAGCAGAGCTATATATTTCCAGTAAGTAATTTCCACTCCTACATATTTTCACGTAGATACATTGCTCTTTTCCTACTTACAGGGATCGGTACGTAGTTGAGGTTTTAACAAATACTTAAGAATTGATCAGTTGGTTGATGATAACCCAGGCTGACCTGAAGTATGGAGAACATAGGGTGAAATGGGAGGAAAGGAACCAGGAACAGGTGAATGTGATATGGGAAAGCACTTTTCTTTCTAGTTAATAACTTGCCCAAGGGGGGAAATTCATTTGAAAATTTCCAAAGACCTTCCTCCAAGATCAAACCACTACTAATTCTTTAAAAACAACAAAATATAACATCTTGGTTTTACACATCTTCCTCCTGTCATTTCACCCCATCCTACATACACATTAGAGAAACGAGTTCCAGGTTTATGCAGGCTTCTATATGTTTAAAGCTTTTACCTTAGGCTCAGCCCTTTTAGATGCATTGCCCTGGAAGCCTCTGCCCTATGCCCACCTAGATCATGCAGAGACTGATTGAAGTCATCAAAGCCCACCCACCGCCGAAAAGGGACTGTTGAGCTAGTCTCAGCAGGCAACCCTGAACTGAGCAGGGCAGCAGGCCCGGCCTTGGCGAGCCTAGCGTAGACACACTTTTCTTGTCTGCAAAACTCCTTCTCCCACAGAGCAGACTGCTGGCGCCCAGGGGCCTGAGCCTCTACTCAGACGTGCCTGGAGCTATCCGTCCATTGCTCAGACTGGGCTTCCTATTTGGTTTTCCAAGCAGCAGAAAATCAGCACCTTTAATACCACCAGTGTCCCTGAGCACCTTGATCCTTTTTCTGGAGAGGCCAACAGACCCAGGCAGCTTTGAGCGTGGAAGGAGAAGAGCATCTGTCCAGGGTGAAGGGAACACCCCACAGCCCTCTGGAGGGTGGCAGAGTTCCACAAAAGCTGGGCATAGGCCTTTCAACTTTACCCAATGACAAGGGAGTAACAAAGGCTACTGGCCTTATCACAGGCCTGGGCCCCCTGTCTTCCAGGGCTTGTGGTCACATTGCACTGGGTGAAGCCTCTTGAGGGCGAGGAGGCAGCAGGGTGAGGCAGCTGGGAGGGAGGCATCCGTGATTCCATGGACCTGCAAGGCCACTGGCAACAGAGGCAGCTGCCTCCCTACCCAAGCAGGAGCAGATAAGGCAGGAGCCAAGGCCACCTTCTTCCACCCCCTGAACTTGCTACGTGTAGAATTCTTCACAGTGCTAAGCCCAGCTTCTGCCAGGGCCCTGAGCATGTATAGAGAAGGGGCAAGGGTGGAAGTGGGGGATCACATAACTCTGGAAGGATGCTGAAGCTCAGGTGTTGGGCTCACCTGAGGAGGGGAGTGAGCAATGAATGACAGGTAGTCCCACAGCCAGGAACCAACCAACCCCAGGAAAGGCGCTGGCATAGCGAGTGGAGTGCGGTGCGCCATGCAAACATGCTGCTGGGCTAGATCCTGATCTTCCCCACCCCACAATGGGGCAGCAGTGTCTTCGCTAAGGGATGTCTGTGACTCAGAAGCAATGAGAGGGTTAGTCCTGGGGAAGCAAGGGAGGCCTTTCTACACAAGGGGCATGTGGCAGAGTCACAGAGAGGTATCCTGGGCATGAGAGAGGCTGTGGGCCCTGCCCACTCACTCCCCAGCCAAAAAAATGTCTTTACAACCAGGCCCCTTCCTCACCTCACCCACCATAATGACCAGGCAGCACCCAGTTGGGCTTGCATGGACCTGGTGCAGACCCCAAGTAAGGGCCTGGGTGGGGGCGAGAGGTGGGGTCCATGTCCTTTGAGGGTGAGGCTGGCCTCCAGGTGGAACTCTGACCCAGAGGAGAGCAGAGGGGAGCCAGGTACAGTCAGGCCTCCCCCTGCTGCCCTGTGGGGCGGGGAGCACCAGGAAACACTGGGAGGCAGGGGAGAGCACCCATCACTTTCCACCCCGGGGAAGTGCAGAGGCAGCCCCAGGCTGGGTCGCCATGATGTGGTAGATGGACTCCCGGAAGCGCTGGTCTCGGCTGAGCCGCTTGGCCACCTCTTTCAGTTCCTCCATGTTGTTGGCTTCCAGCTGGGAGGTCATGAAGGACTGGGACGGCTTCACTGGGGAGACAGTAGGCTTCACTGGGGAGATAGCAGCCCGGAAGGCCTGTGAGCAGCTCTCCTTCCACCAAGGCTTGGCCCTGCCCCACGCCCAGCCTGCCGCCCTCACTCCCGATCATACATGCCACTCAACTTCCCCAGCTGCTCTCCGAAGTCACCTGTCTGCCCAAGGTCAGTGGAATCAGAGTCAAGGTCACAACATCCAGTCTCAGAGCTGGGCCAGCCCTTCCCGCTCCTTCTGCGGCCTCTTCCTGCCTTGTCCCCCACAGCCGGGGGCCACCCCAGCCCACCCCACCCCACCAGGCAGGCAGCAGCCACACTCACTGTCGTTCCAGGAGGTGCTGGACCGGCGCCGGTGGAAGCGGCAGCTCTTGATGCGGCGAGTGGCCGCCTTGTGGATGTACACGGAGTTCTTCATGATGACCGGCATCTTGGCCTCCAGCTCCGCGTTCCGGATGCACTCCTCAAAGAACCCTGCGGCCGCAGTTCAGCTGCACCCTTCCCTCCTGCCCCACCCCACGCCTCCAAGGGTGCTGAGGCTGAGCGGGAAATATGTTGACCCCAAACCTTGGTAGATGGGAGCCACCCGATGAAGGGGTCAGAACTGTGCCCCCTACTTCCACCCCAGACCCAACAGCCAAGGAGATGCCTGCAGGCGGGAGTCTGGAGAAGAAACTCCATCAATCTACATGTCACCTAAGCTCAGCAGGCCCTGCTCCCTGCTGGGGTGTCCAGGGCTGGGGGTCCGGGCACCGGAGGGCAGGGCTTACTTTTCAGGTGGCTCACGTCAGCACGCATCCTGTCCTCCTTCTCCTTGTTCCGCACCTTGGAGTTGAGCCCTTGTTCCAGGCTCCGCAGGGCCCCCTCTGCCTCCCGGAGGCGCTTCTCCAAATCCATGCGGACCTTCACCTCAGCCTGAGGGGACAGCGGAGAGGGAGGGGTCCTAGGAGCCGTTGGCATCCTCCCTGGAAGCCCGGCCTGAGCGTCCCTGCCTCGGGCGGGCACTCTTCCCTCTGGACTCGGATGCAAGTGACCCTATTCAGCTCACATCTCACACCCCTGACCAGCTGGCCTGGACTTGGGCCCTGCACCCAGCAGGTGTCTACCTAGGAGGCTCCACCCAAGTGCAGGCTCACTGCTTCGTCCCCCATGGTGGCTCCCACACCCGGCTGGTCAGATCGGCAGAATAATTCAGGGAGCTGCCTGGTAAAGGACAGGGATGTGAGGGAGTTAACTGTGACCGGAGGGCCCTTAGAACGTGCTGCTCCTAGCGGGCCAGGCCAGCACCTTGAGCTCCCGCTCAGCCTGCTGCTTCTCTGCCGTCAGTTCCTGCAGCGAGTTCTGCAGCGCCTGGGACTGGGTGGAGTAGAACTCCCGCTCCTCCTCCAGAGCCCGTGAGCGCGCCTCATTCTCCTTCATCCTGCGAGGGCAGAGGAGGCAGCTGCTCAGTGCCCGCATGACAGAGGGGGCCTACTATAGGGGGGCAGCCCCTCATAGAGACCTGCATGGAGAAACCTCGAGACCCAGGGTCCATGAACCCCAGAATACTCCGGGTCCTGTCACCCAGGTGATGTGAGGGGTGGTGTGGTCGGCGAGGGGGCGTGGAATCAGAAGACTGGAGTCCTGGCGCTAGGTCTGGCCTCCTCTGTTAGCCTCTCCAAGGCTAACATCTGTTTAAAAGAAAAAGGGGGCTATGAGGACCTGCCAGGCTGCACCTACATCGTTATATGGACCCAATGGCTGTGTGTCCACAGAGCTGTCACATCAACTGTGGGTAGTGAAGTTTCTCTTCCCATTTGCCTGGCAGGGAAATTGAGTCCTAGGCAAAAGAAAGTGAATGACCTGTCTGGTCAATATCAAGTAGAACCCAGGAGTCCACGTGTCCTGTTCTAGGGAAGTTAGCAACCCCCAAACCTATCGTGGCGATCATGGACTCTGGGGTCCTGGGCCCCCTACCGCTTCTCTGCCAAGAGCTTCTCCTCCAAGAGTTGTTGCATCTTCTCCTCAATTTGCCTGAGGTTGCTATGGAGACCGCCGCTGGGAGGGGGCTGCTCACTCTGATTGGCCAGTGTCTGCAGCTGGTTCTCATTCTCCTCCAGCATTTCCAGGGTTTTCTTCTTCTCTATGGAGAGTTCCTAGCATGGAGGGAAGGAGAAAGGGAAGCAGAGAAAGAGCCTAATTTAGGTTCTGTAGCCTGGATGCCCTCACGTGCCTTTAAATTCCAGGGAGTGAAGCTCCCTTCTCTCAATTCTTGAGTAGGGACCCCAGAAAAGTCTTCATTATTCCCTTGAAGTAAAAGGCCAACCAGGATCTCACAGTGAGGCAAGCTTACTCCTTCATCGAGGGAGTCGGGGAGGATCCAGAGTGTCATCCTGCAAAGGTGGCTCAGGGCCCACCAGCACCAGGGCCTTCTGAGGTCCTAGTTCCTCCAGGGGTGAGGCAGGGAGTACGGGGGCCTTGTATGTGAAAAGCCCTTCAGGAACCAGCCCAAGATTTAGATGTTCTCCCCACTTAGCAGAGTAGAATCTGGCGCTACACAGAAATTCTAGAATTGAAACTCCCCATGAGAACCACCTTCCATGACGTGAAAATGGGAAACATAATAAAGATACAAGCCCAGCCCCAGTCAGGGGAGAGAGGATAGAACCCCTCATAGTCTGCAGGGCAATTTGTGAATCCAGTGAACATTACAGATCCTCCATGATGTGCCAGGCTTGCCCTAGGTGCTGGGCTTGGAGAGAACTTGACAAGGCCTAGTGAGGTTCACAGTTTGGAAAACACAACCTTGTGTGACATGACAGGTGCCGGGAGAGCCCAGAGCAAACACCTGCTGAGAACAGCCAGGGAGGTTTGGCCAGGCGACACGTGAGCTGAGTCTTAGGAGGATAAGTGAGTTTGCTAGGCAGATGGGAGACAGAAGGACATTCTGTGCAGAAGGCCCAGCCTGGGCACCGGTATGGAGCATGGAAGCATTTGGCTCCCACAGGGCATGTGAGCTCAGTGGCTTGGAGTAGGGGGCCATCTTTATGTGGGGTGCAGAGGGGCAGCTGAGGTTGAGTGGACAGGAGGGGAGGAGAGGCTGGGCCCAGAGTAGGCACTTGCACGCCATGCTAAGGAGCTGGAACCTTGTCCTCGACACATGCTACGTCCTCCTCCTCCTCACAGTTTCCGTGGTATCAAATGGAGATGACCTGGCAGCTGATTTCCCTTCATGTGCAACTACATTCAGGAGCAACTAAGAGATGAGCCACAAGAAGGAAGTGGTGGGTGGCCCCACGGCCCACCTTCATCCATTCTCCATCTGGTATAAAAATATAAGCACTGAAAAGAGTAGATTTCCGGAGGCCCTGGTCACCACAAGGACACACTTGAATTTGTCCTTCTGGGTCTAGCTTTGGACCTCAGGTGCTGGCTGGAGTTCTCAGCAGTCCACAGAGAATAGTCCCTTTAGGTAGCAGTCCCTTTAGGTAGCACCCCTCCATGCCCCATTCTGCTTACTGATAACCTCTGGGGAAACATTGTTGGAAAAACTATCACATGGCCCAACCACAAGCCCACGTCCCAGCCAACTCACCCTCCAGAAGCCCCTCACCTCCAGTGTCTGCTGCAAGGACTCGGTGAGGTGCCTCAGCTCCTTTTTCTCTTGCTCCACACCCTTGAGGCATCTTGCCGTTAGTTCTAGCTCCCTGCACGGACAGAGGGCTGGTATGGCAGTGCCCACCCTTCCTAATCCCCTACATACGCAGAAACCCTTCCACTTTACCTCTGGACTCAGAGTCATCAGAAGACCCGACCCTTTGCCTGGCTGGGTCCTGACAGCAGCTGTGGGGGCCTAGGGCCAGAAGGAGATCCTGGCCAAGCAGGGTTAAAGTGTCTTGTTCCAGGTACCCATTCTTCTGTCAGTCCGGGATAAACCAGGGCCATCCCACAGATGAGAAAAGCACTGGAGTAACAAAGGAGTCTGGCTTCACCCCACCTTCCCTGGACAGCCCCTGCTAGAATGCACACATATTCATACCCGGGCTATTGCCGAGGCCCTTCTTTGAGGTGACAGACTCCTTGCTGCCTTCTTTATAAGTCTTAACCACCTTCATGTCAGGCCTTCATGCCTGACTGCCCCTCTTCCTGCTTCGGCTGCCCTTTTCTCTGCCCAATTTTCCAAATCCTACCCATCCTTCAAGGCCTGGCTCAGCTAACCAAAGAATCACATAGATGTCTTAATTTCTGAAACATAGGGGCCTGTACTATGTCTCCCAGCACCTGGTTATATGTGATTTTGTTAATTTTTCCTGGCTGTGAGTTTGGTTTTCCCAAACAGATTATAAGATCCTCAAAGGAAAGGCCTTTTATTCACTGCCTGGCAGTGTCTGGTTCTGGCTACGTACTTGGTAAGATCCTCTGCCCTCCTTCCTCCACACAATGAAAGTCTACTATTTCTATGTATGAGGTTGTTGCAAGAAAAATCTTTCCGGGTTATCATTCATGAGTAGCTGCAATGGTGACGATGGTGATGATGAAGAGGATGGTGGTCACTACCCAGAGCATAGTTTCCAAATTCCAGGAGAGGCTGTGCACACGCAGATTTCTGGATCCTGCCTGCTGGAGATTCCATACATGGGACTAAAGATCCTAAGGGACACCATTAGCTAGAATGTGAAAGAACTAGGTGGAAAAGTCTGGGAATGTTGGGGGTCTTGGCCAAAGGCACCTCCAGCTTGGTCCTGTCTGCCCTGGTAAGGAAGGCTTGGTGGAGGCAGCGGGGTGGGGTGGGGGTGGCAACTGGTGGGGAGATGCCTATAGCTGCCCATACCTCACGCTGCAGTGAGCAGAAGTGGTCTGATTGTGTTACAGTTCCTTCTGTAACAGTCTAATCCCCACAGAAAGGGAGGTTCCAGGTGTCCCATCTCACCTAAGGAAGGGTGGAGCTGAGCAGCTAGGAGAAGCTAGAAAAGACCAGAAGGACTTGGGAGAGGAGAAAGGAGAAGACCTGGAAGAGGTGCGTGCAACAAAGAGGCATGTGAAGAAGGTACACCTGCTTCTCGGCCTTGGACTTGTAGCAGGGGCTTTGGGAACATGGAAGGAGACACTTCAAAGAGATGTGAGTGAGAGACCGATAGGGATGCTGATAATGGCAGTCTTTATCTTGATTTGTATATTTTGATTTTGCTCCTTTCCTTCCAGACTTGCCCAGCCCCTTCTGCCTCTTTTCCTATGAGTCCCACCAGAAGATGCCTTAGACTTATAACTAAGCTTTCAGGTCTCACTGGCCCTGCTTTGGGCCAGCCCTGGGCATTTACCCACAAGAGGATGTGTAACTTCGGATGCTTCATTGGGAAACCATATGCTTTCTTTTCTTCTCTCTAATGCACTCTAATTCTACTAAAGTTCTTTTCTACTGATGGTCTTACACACTAAGAGTATGTTTTGTGTTTATGTGGCAGGTGGCAGAAACTATGTAGAGTGTGCAGATTTGGGAGTTAGGGTGTCTCTCATTCTTCCCACTAGCACTTCTGGGTGGAGGAGTCCCCAGACCTGAGAACCCACAGGGAATGTTCTAACCTAACTTTCTTCCCGCTCCCCTCCCAAGACGCCATCACCACCTCTTGATCTGCTCCTGTTCCATTCTCAGCTCCTGCACCACCTCCTCAAACTGCTGCTTCTCGGCCTCCAGCACCTGGTTAAGGCGTTCAAGCTCCTGAAGAGAATCAGAGAGGAAAAGTCAAGGGCAACAAAAGGCCCTGAGGTCAGGAACCCCCACCTTAACTTGGGGATCCCTCCAGGATTCAGCACAGTCTGGAGAACATGCCAGACCCAACCTGAATCAAGTCCTGAGGAGCCCTGGCCCACTCAATGACACAGACTCTACAGAACCAAAATCTGTGGTGAGCTGGCCCATTTGAGATACATTTAGCAAGCAAAAGGCGGGTTGTCTCCAAGGGGCAATTTTAGTCACTTACACCCTAAGGCATGTTGCTGGCCCTCAAGCTCTGGGGCAAATGTGGATGTGTATTTCCATGAAAGATCCCTGGAGCAACCTTGGTTAGAAGTGGCAATGAACGCAGCAGTCTCTGCCCACCTGTTACTATGCAGGTGTTTCCTTTCACCAGCTCTCTCCTCCGCAGGGCAGCAGCCTCCCTGCCTGCCCTTGACCTGTACCATGCCCGGCTTCTCTTCACTGACCTCCCTCAGCAGAGGCAGCTCTCCTCAAGGCCGCCCACCTGTAATCATGCAGGCCTCTCTCAGCAAACCTGTTCCTCTCGGGGCAGTTCTTCCTGCCTGCTTATGTCTATGCAAGTGTACTTTACTTTTCTGTCCCTTTCCCTGATAAACCTGCTCTTGAATAAAAAGAAGAAGAAGAAGAAGAAGTAGCAATGATAAGCCACTTCCAACCCAAAATCTAGAAATCAAGACTTTCTCCCGGCATCCGGGAAGCACCTGCACAGTCGGCTACTTCCTAACACTCAGCCCCTGAGGAGCAGGGAGAGAGCCAGGAACCCCGAACTGGCCCACGGACGGCCCGTCTCTTCAGGAACAGCAGTGAGCATAAACATTTCCCCAGCAAGTATGCACCTTCCAGGGGTCCTGTTTTCCTGGGGTTCAATGGCAGGTGGTGCTGGGGGGTAGGTAGCTGGAATCCAAAGTGATGCCACTTTGTTTCTTCACATTTTACACTGGGTCAGGGGATATTATAGCTAGACCCACTCTCTTTCTCATTTTCTAGCCCAAAATTATACTCTGACTTTCCACCCAGGAGATTTGTTCTCAAGAATAATGGGAACCCCTCCTGGGACTGTGGCTGCTGATGGGGAGAAGGTGCCATTGAGGAAATACAGAAAAGCTGTTTTAGCTGAAGGAGAGGGAAGAGTTTGATCCCAAACCCCACGACCACCAAGCCTAAACTTTTAAAATTTTATTTATTTATTTATTTTTGCATAGAAGAACTGGGTGCAGGGGTGAGAGGATTCACCAGAGACAGAGTGGGGAGCAGAACAGGCAGATTGACTGAAATACACAGCTGAAGGGAGCAGCAGACAAGACAGGAGAGGTCTGTTGTGCTGTGTGGGTCAGCAGCCTGGCCGGGGATCGAACTCAGGTCGTGGGGGTGATAGCACTGAGACTTAACCCCTAGCCCACCAGGAAGGTCCCATGCCTAAACTTCTTACCCAGATTGCTGCTCTTTCCCATCCCCATCACTGGGCACAGTTGGAAATCATTAGTGATGGCCACAGCGCTGCTCCCTGGTGTTCTCAGACTCCTCTTGGCATTCTGCACAGCCACAGTGCCCCTCCTGCCCACCCAGAGCAGTCCTCACCATGGGCAGCAGCTTGACCAAAGTGAAACTCACTCACTTTTGGTATCCAAAAACCAGGGAGTCCACAGCTGACCTGCCTCCCTCCTCCAACATGCTGTGGCTTTAAGGAAGGCCGGCGTGTGGCGGCCTCCGCTGGCCTCATTTCCTGGCTAAAGACCTAGATAGAGTGTCTAAATTTTCCTCCAACTCACTGCTGCCCCAGATTTAGCCTCTCTGATGGATAAGTCCATCTCTCCCTGCCAGTATCTGTGTCTGTCACTCCATCCTCTCCCCTGGCTTCATGAATTACCTGTTTTTAAGTTGCTGACAACCCACCCAAAAGTCTCCCTTCTTAAAATGTATAGAACTGTAGGAAGGAAATGCCAAAACTCACATGCGGGACCTACATGAGAGTTGGAGACGTGGCCCCTACACTGCTGGACAGTGAAGGCTCAGGGCTGCCACGATGCCAGTCTTCACAGTCCGCATCCAAACCCTCAACAGGTCTTGGATTTGTGTTTGTTAACACGACAATTCCCTTGTCATATCCTCGGGGCTGTGTTCTGCCTATTTGTTGACTCACAATTTTCCATGTTAATTTATAGACCGATTCCCTTTGTGGCACCACAAGTGTAAGTGAAAATGGAAACAATTCATGTTTTTGGTCTGTTTGTTTTGTCTTGTTTATGGTAATTGACAAAATGATTCTGAGGTTCAGCTGGAAGAATAAATGGGCAAGAATAGCTGACAAAATTTTGGAAGAGGAAAAATGTGGCTAGATTGACCTACTGGATTACAATCAGGTGGAATATAAAGTGACAAAGTCAAACATGTCCATTCATTGAGTCTTTCCATGAACATTTATCAAGCACTCACCCTGGGGAAGTTTGGGGTGAAAAGAGACACTGTGCTTCTTGGCTGTTAGGCCTGATTCAGAGCCCAGGTTGGGGTGGCTGGGAAGAGTCAGGGTTAGCAAGAGGTAAGTCAGAAAGGCAGGCACTGGGCCAAGGCTGCTCACACCGGCCCTGTGACTTGCCTGGGAGAGGACAAGAAAAAGGAGGCAGGCAAAGGGAAGGGACTAAATCGGGGCTCTCCCTCTGCAGGCTCCTCTGGAAACATAGTCTAGAACTTCCAGCCTCAGGCAGTCCATGTGCCACATGGGTCGATTATTAATAACATGATTGTAATACTAACAAAAACATACATTCACTAAGCCCATGCTCTGTGCCAAGCACTTTATGAGTGACACCTCACTCAAGTTTCATAGCCCCTTAATAAGATGGGTTCTATTGTGAACTCCAGTTCTCATATGAGAACATGGATGTTCAGAGAGTTAAGTAACCTGCTCAAGGTCACACAGCTAGAAGTGCGCAAGGTAAAACACAAACCCACGCAGCCTGGCTCCAGAGCCTGCCTGCCTCCTTTTTCTTGTCCTCTCCCAGGCAAGTCACAGGGCCGGTGTGAGCAGCCTTGGCCCAGTGCCTGCCTTTCTGACTTACCTCTTGCTAACACTGACTCTTCACAGCCACCCCAACCTGGGCTCTGGAGCCCATGGCCACTACCCTCACCCTCAGGGGTGATGATGACTCCTTAGAAAGTCCAAGGCCCAATACTGCACAGAGATCCCAAATGAAGAGGAATTTAGGGGCTCCCCACCCTGAAACAAGGGTCTCCTTTGCTCCACAGGCTGCCTGTGTTGAGCATGGTCAGAACTTGCATTGCTGACATTTAGAGGGGACCATTGAGATCATCCAACACAATCACCCTCACAGTGCCAGGAGCCCCGTGGACAGTAGAGGCCATCACAGCCTCCTGCAAACATCGCCAGTGAGGGGCGGTGCATTACCTACTGACACAGCTTATAAAATTTTTCAATGGCTCTTTTCTAAAAGGTGATTACTGACCCTTTTTACCTTTGTCCCCTGGGCACTGGCAAGGAGAAACACATTTTTTGCCAGGAAGCTATAGCAAGTCTGTCTCAAGCACTAGCAGCTCATCGCTGTGCCCGTTTGATTTCTCAGCAAGTTCTCTGGGAGCCCAGCTCTCCTCCATCATCCCCTAGTGCCAGAAACATAAACCAGCACACCTTGGCATTTAGGGACCCACAGAATGGAGGGGCAGCAATTCTGAGCAGCCTCCATGTGCACCCACCTCTCTCTGCTCCCTCTGCAGGCAGAGTTCTTCGGTCTCTTCCATCAGTTTGTCTGCCAAAGGGAGGACACTCAGTCACAGAAAGCTCACTCCAGATCCGGTGCAGGGGCTTTGGTGTCTACAGTGCCTCTGCCACCCCCAGCGTTCCCCATGGAAGAGGGTGGTACTGACAAGCCAAGACCACCCAGAGGGTGGGACCAGCTCCTGGGGGCAGCAGCTGGATGCTGGCAGAGCTGTCACCGGCTGTCCATTGCTGCTCCTGTTCTTTGCATTCGCAAGGCAATGGAGGCCTCATCCTTGGAAGCTCGGTGGGTCTCTGCACCCCTGGGTCACTGTTAACCTCTGCACTAGTGTTTGGTTGGTGGGGGAGGGCAGAGCCTGGAGAGCAGACAGAGGGGAACCTGGGGCCCCAAGGACCTAAGGAAATGGCAGAGAAGGTCCCAGGCAAAGGTCCCAGACTCAGCATGAGCATGCTTAAAAGCCAGCCAGGTGCACAGGGGCCTGGAGGCCTGCAGTCAGGTTTAAAGTGGGCTGGGGGTGGCAGTGGGGCAAATCCATGAACTCCACTTAAGGGCCCTTCCTGGGAGCCTGCCACAAATGCTTACAGGCTTTTCCCCATTTCACTTGACCCCATGCCACCTTTTAAAAGCCTTTGTTTCCATTTCAAGGATGAGGAAATTAAAGCTTGGAGAGGCCACTCTGACTATGGACACACACAGCTGACAGATAAATGGCAGAGCTGGGTCTGGAGTCAAGGCTCCTAACCACCAGGCTCTTCGGCCTCCTGTCATGTGGGCCAAAAGGACATTTATTTTGCCATAAAGCAAGCTCCAAGCTCTAAGCTCATCTCTGGCTAGCTTGCCAAACTCCCCCACCACCCCCAAGACATGCCCCTGACTGTAACCCCTGGCCCTGATTGCTACCATTAGGGAGCCTCAGCCTCCAGTCCTTCCCTCCAGCCAACCTAAATACTCCTGCTTCTCCTTGGCCAACTGCAGGCCCTGGGCCTCCAGGCTTTTGATCATGGCTTCTCCCAGCTGGGCGTTCTTCCAAGTCCTGGGGAGGGAGGGCAGATGGATCAGAGGAGAGAAGAGGAAGAAACACAAAATCATTCAAACAGAAGCTGAGAGGAGAAAGTGTGCATATTTTGTATTCGCCCATCCTTTCTCTAGAATCTGAGCTCGGATCCACTCCGCCCCGGGCTCTGGGCTTGCCACCAGCATCGATCAGTTACAGTACCTGGAGGTGGGCCCAGGTTGCAAAGTGGGCCACCGTGGGCTGGGCCAACAGCACTTTGGGAGCAGGGAAGATTGCTTCCTGGCTCCTATCTACACCACCTGGTGCAAGCCTGGCACGGGGCACACACTGTATTCTTTGTCACACTAAAGAGCACAACCCAACTCAAGCAGGCAGGTGCTGAGACAGGGGTTTACGTGCAAATGGCCTGTGGTGGGCTGCAGGTTTCTGGAATCTGGGCCCTGACTTATAAAACAGTAGCTCTTGATCGGGCTAGGCTTAATTATGGGCCCAGGGAGGTGAGAGGGGTGTTAGGAGGCAGCCACATCTAGTGATGCTGGATTTGCTCCCAAGAATTTGAGACAAGTGATATTCGGCTGTGACGCTAGACAGGTAAAGTTCATTTTGCTCAAAGCTCACTTAAGAGACCCTTCACAGATGTTCTGAAACCTTGCCCACTCCAGCCAACTCCCACAGCCCTGTCCTCAAGCAGGCCCAGAAATTTTCCTCCCCAACCTTGACCTCTCTGGGGTTCTTCAGTGCCCACAGGGATCCCAGCAGAGAGGCAGGGCGGTCAGGGTAGGCCCAGTGCCCATGCCTTCCCCCCTCCTGGACCCACGAGCACTTACACCTTCCCCGACTCCTGCAGCATCTCCAGCCACTGGGTCTGCTCAAACTCAGACTCGGCTGCCAGCAGGACGTTCCCCTGCCAGGAAGAGGAGCCACAGGGGCACCTGAGACGAAGCCACTCTGGGGATGGAGGCTGCTCCCAGCCTCTGCAGGCCCGTTCTGCTCTCCCACCCGGCATCTTTGTGACACTGACACCCCTCCCTGGCCACAGGGAACCTGGCAGAGCCAAACAAGCTGGCCTGGCCCAGCTGAGTCCAAGCTAAGGGGGCAACTTTACTCACGTGGAAGTCCTGGTGGGAGATTTTCATGGCGTAGGGCATGCTGGGCTCTTCCCTGGCCTCCACCAGGCAGCCTCCCAGAGGGATGACACCCTGAGAAAGAATTGGAACAGGCAACCCCCAACCCACCCAGCCCAGGTCACTCAAGGCATCTGGGAGGGCTCAGCTAAAGTTGGGTCCTGCCAAGGGCCCCAGGCTGGCAGGCAGTCAGAACCGATGCCCAGAAGGGAAAGGGCCGTGGCAGGCTCTGTGGCCCAGGAGGACGGGGAGCCCAGTCTGGGAGGGAGGATAGCGCATCTGTAGCCCCCAAAGGATCCAAACTGCTGGATCAGAGCAAGACAACAGATGATCCCTACCCTCCCGGGATTCATTTCCCTTTCCCCCTCCCCCGGGGCCCTGGGAAGAGGTGCTCACCTTAGGGTGTATATTGAAGTATTTATTGCTTTCAAAGCTCTTTTTTTCGCTCTCAGAGTAGTAAAGAAGAAAGCTCTCTTTGATGATGAAAAATCTATGGGAGGGGGTGGGGTGGAGAGGCACCAAAAGGAAGGAGTGAGGTTTCTCAGGACAGCAAGTGTGCCCTTCGGCCCTGCACACACACGGGCACCCATGGGACACCAGCTCAGACTCATTCTCATCGACTCCCAGCCCATATCTGAGCAAAGGCAGCCCAGTGGGCATCTGAAGTGGGAGGCCTGCAACTGACTTCCAGCTCTGGCCCCTCCCCCTGTCCACCACCCTTGGCAAGGAGGGTGTCCAAGGTCCTCAGTAACTCCAACCCCATGGGCCATTTATCTCCAGTCCCTTGGGGCTTGCCTGATGAGAGATAGCAAGATTCTGAGATGTGGGCCTCACTGGTGCCACAGGGGTTAAGTCTCAGTGCTATCAGCTATCACCAGCCACTTTGGCATGAGTTCGATCCCCGGCCAGGGAGGTGACCCACATGGCGCAGCAGACCTCTCCTGTCTCACCTGCTGCTCCCCTCAGCAGTGTATTTCAGTCAGTCCGCCTGTTCTGCTCCCCACTATGTCTCCGGGAAATCTTCTCATCCTGCGACTCCCTGTACCTCTGGCCTGTACCCCAGTTCTTGTATGCATAAATAAATAAATCTTAAAAAAAATGATTCTGAGACAGGGCATGACAAGTGATCGTGAGGCTGACTGTCAAAAGGGGTGTGGGTACCAGTCTGACGAGGTGCCTGCAGCTTACATGGATGCCTGCATCCCCCTTTGATTCCTCACAGCCTCCTTCCAAGACAAACTTAAGCCTTCTGTGACCCTGGTGCATTCTGAGTGTCATGGAGGTGATGTTCTTGATGCCAGCACCTGGTGTGCTTGTACCCGCCCTGGGTATCCTTAGGGGACTAATGATTGCAGCTGACTACTATGGGATACCAAGTCACTCCCAAGAGGAGAGCCCATGGGCCCCAAAGCTTGAGTTTCAGGGACACCCAGCCTGGCTGGCTCCTTCCTCCCAGGGCCCCAGTTCATGCAGATGTAGTTGTGATGGGATTAGGGGGCACTGGAAACAGTGGCAGCTGCCACTGGCTCAGGGGCTCAGGATAACCCACAGCCCAAGGCCCTCCCCCCTACTCTGGAGTCAGTGACTTCTCACTGGCAATTGGATATCAGCCATAGTGGGAGCAGGTAGACATGGAAAGCACATTCTCTGAAACATCACAGGATGGGCCAGCACGCCATAGGCTGAAAGTGCTCTCCTGTGAGGAGCTTGCAAGTTGCCGATGGGCATCACAACCCAGTCACAACTCAGTGACTCTGAAGGTTCCACAATCAAGTGATCTTTCCTGAGGCCACAGCTGCTCTTGGGAGGGTCCCTGGGACTGCTGCCAGCTGCCAGCTCTTCCCCAGGAAACTGGAGCTGTTTTGGTGTGAGCCTCTTGCTGACCCATTTTCTTTTCTTTTTTTTTTTAAAGATTTATTTATTTATGCATACAAGAGCTGGGGTACAGGCCAGAGATGTCGGGGGTGAGAGGATTCACCAGAGACAGAGTGGGGAACAGAACAGGCAGACTGATGAAATACACTGCTGAGGGGAGCAGCGGGCGAGACAGGAGAGGTCTGCTGCGCCATGTGGGTTTCTCCCTGGCTGGCCAGAGATTGAACTCGTGCTGCAGAGGCCAGGGATTGCTTCATAGTGTGGTGCTTAACCCCTTGCACCACCAGGGAGGCCCAGACCCATTTTCTTTATTTGCACTGGCCCTCAGGTCTGCCTAGCCAAATACTCAATAGAGTCCTAAGAACCTCAGAGGTGACATCCTGTTCATGCCAACTTTTCCTCTAGGACTTTCTGCACCCAGTGGAGAAAGAACACATAAATCCCACCCTCTGCAGAACTGTGGGGACGTTCTTGGCCTTCCACCACCTGCCCACCTTCTCAGCTTTCCCTCCTCCCCTGCCCTCAGCCTCTGCTCCAGCTGAGCTCACAGCACCCCACAAGCCTACGTGAAGCCTGACCTGCATAGGAGACCATGAAGTTCCCTCTTGCTCTTCATCTGGCTGAATGCTTCTTGCCCCAGGTGACCAGCCCAGGCCCTGCTCCTTTCAGAGCACCTCCTGTACTCGTGTCCAGGCAGAATGCACTTGGCACTTGCATGCTCATCTTGTCCCAAGGGGACGCTGGGCTTCTGGAGAGCAGAGCCATACTCCTCACCTCCACCCCTGCCCCAGTCTCATGGACTGAGGGAGATGTCCCCCACCATTTCAAGGGAACTTCAGATTAGTTAAAAGGATAGGCTTTGGCATCAAACAGACCCGCCCTGTCCTAGTTAGGGGGGCTTGGGCAAGTAATATCGTCTCTCTGTGTCTCAGTTTCTATACCTGTAGAATGGGTAACAACTGTCCCTGGACATTGTGAGGATCCGAGGAGTTCGTGCATGGGAAGGGAGAGAGCAGGGGCTCTGGCATCAAGCGGTCCTGGTCCCTCAGGCCACAGCCTCAGACCAGCTCTCAGACTTGCTGAGTGGCCTTCCCAATGTTATCCTATAAAGTGGGGATGCAAATATCTGCAGGAAGCAGATTCATTTATTGATACAACACATAATTGCTGAGCTCCCAACTGTGCCAGGCACAGTTGCAGGTGCTGGGGATAGAGGTGTGGACAAGGAGACAAAAATCCCTGTCCCTGTGGAGCTTACTTTTGAGTGGGTATACGTGCAGTGGGGAGGCAGACAGTGAACAAGTAACAGATGCCATATACCAGATGCTGATAAATGCCATGGAGGAAAATAAAGCAGCGTAAGTGACAGAGTGAGGGGTTGGGGGAAGAGATTTTAAGGTTTAAACAGGGTGGTTGGGGAGAGTGTGGTTAAGAAAGTGACATTTCAGGCCTCCCTGGTGGTTCAAAGGGTTAAGCACCACACTATGAAGCAATCCGCAGCCAGTCCCCAGGCAGCCAGGGAGCTACCCACAGGGCGCAGCAGGCCTCTCCTGACTTGCCCTCTGCTCCCCTCAGCAGTGTATTTCAGTCAGTCTACTTCTGTCCTAGACCAATTTCAGTCCTGGGCGAGGCACTGTCTCCAGCCCTCACCCTTAGGACGAAGGGTCCTAACAAGGAGTTGATGGCCCCACTGGGCTGGAGTGAAGCCCAAAGAATGTGTGAGGTAAAGGGCCTCTGTCAACCTTGCCACCTCTTCTCTCCGGTCTTTAAGAACAGTATATTCACTTCCAGATTAAGGACCATTTATAAATTCAAAGACACTCATTTTCCTGTCTTATTGACTTTACTGAAATCTCCTGACAACTATGAGTGATAGAGGTATTTATTTTTGTTTTACTGTGAGGAAACTGAAGCACCGAGAGATTAAGCAAATACTAAGTTGCAAACTAGGAACTCAGCTCTGTCTCTGCCAAAGTTCATGTTCCCAACTGCTTGCTCTTGATGTCTGGGCCCCCTCATCACCACACCTGACCATCCTTATCACCACACCTGGGCCTCCTCCTCACCACACCTGGGCCTCCTCATCACTACAGCTGACCATCCTCATCACCATACTTGATCCTCCTCATCACCACACCTTACCATCCTCATCGTCACAACTGATCTCCTTATCTCTTATGACCTAGAGTCGTAGTCTTCCTGGAGCTTCTCCCAGCAAAGAAATTGCAAGCTCAGGTCAGAGCTTATTAATGAATCTCCAGGTACAGACAGGTACCGTGCTGGGGCCGGGGTCTGGATTATTCCCTGCTTTCAGGGAGCTTATCATCAAAATCAAGAGAGAGTGAAGAAATCAATAATTTAAGAACTAACTAATGTCCATCAAGCTCCTTCTTCATGCCAGACACTGTTCTAGTATCATCATTATGTGTGTTAACTCATTCACTCCTCACATGAGCTAGGTGACGAAACTGGAGCACAGAGAAGTTAAGTGATATGCCCTAGATCACACAGCTGCCGCATGGGGGGAGCTGCCATACCTATAAAGCCCCAGGGTGCTTATTCTGTGGCTTCTTGAAACCCCAAAGTACTCTGTGGCACTGCAAATAGGTATGGGTGGGGGGTGGGGCGGGGGAATGCAGGCAGGGAGGGATGGGGGTTTAGATGTCTGGCCAAGGGAGTTCTCAGAGAGGAGGTGACAACTGAGAGGGGCTATAATAAATGAGTAGGAATAGCTTAACAATGTGGGAAGAAGCAGAAGGGAGAGGTGCATTCTACACAGCAGGAACAGCAGCTACAAATAATAATGTGTCCAAGTTTATCAGAATATGTCTGGTATTATTGTCCTATAAGCACAAAAGGGGTGGGCAGTGGTGCAGGGGGCACCCGCTTAGTGGTGGGGTGGTGCCAAGTAAAGGGTGAGGTAAGATCAAGGAGAGAAACTGGCCCAGAGCAGCGTGGGCTGAACAGTACTGGGCATGGCCTCCCCTAGCGGATGAGGAAAGCTGCCAGTGGGCCCCACACACGCTCCTTATGAGGTCAAACTAGTTTTAGATAAGGGGAGGGTGTCTCCGAGGGGTCCATAGCCAGATAGGAAAATTAGAGTTGCTGGTGATAATAGGCACTGCTTATTGCTGATAAAAATCGCCAGGGTTTGGGGTCTCCCTGATGGCACAAGGGGTTAAGCACCACACTATGAAGCAATCCACAGCCTCTGCAGCTGGAGTTCGATCCCCAGCCGGCCAGGAAGCAACCCACATGGCGCAGCAGACCTCTCCTGGCTCGCCCACTGCTCCCCTCAGCAGAGGACTTTGGTCAATCTGCTTCTTCTGTTCCTCACTCTATCTCTGGTGAATCCTCTTAGCTCCCGCATCTCTGGCCTGTACCCCAGCTCTTGTATGTATGAATAAATAAATCTTTAAAAAAATCCACAGGGTTTCTCGAATGCTTGTACAGTTATTCTGGGCACCTGGTCCTCCTCATCACCACACCTGGTCTCCTCATTACTTCTGACCTGGAGTCATGGTGTTCCTGGAGCTGATCCCCGCTGTACAGTCAGCCTGGGATGACATGAGGGCCAGGACTCTGGCCTAGGTGATAGGATGCCATCCAGCATGA